GAAGACGAGGAAGACGAGGAGGGAGGTGGGAGCGGGTCAGAAGGGGAGGAGAAGCTGCATCTGGATGTGGCAAAAGTCTCTCTGAACTCAGTAGTGGGATTCACTCCGAGTCACACTATGAAAGTAAGAGAAGAGATAGCTGACCGTGAAGTGTTGGGGTTGATCGATAGTGGGGCAACCCACAATTTCATTTATGCCCAGATCGTTGATCAGTTAGGGATGGAGCTAGTCGATACAGGAGGCTATGGGGTGATGATGGGCACGGCGAAGGTGGAGATGGGGAGAGGAGTTTGCAGGGGAGTGTCTTGACCCTCCAAGGGCTACAGGTAAGGGAGGATTTTCTCCCCTTAGAATTGGGAAGTACATATATCATCCTGGGGATGAAATGGCTACAGATTTTGGGGGAGACCAAGGTCAACTGGAGTGCTTTGAGGATGGAACTGGTGGTAGAAGGATAGAGGAAGGTGATCCAGGGGGATGCAGGGCTGACAAGGGCAGTCGTATCTCTCAAATCCATGATCAGATCCATACAGGAGGTGGGAGGGGGATTTTTAGTGGAGCTGCAACGTTTGGAGAGGGTCGGTGTGGGAGAAAAAGGAGACATTCCACAAGTGGTGCAACCGCTCATACAACAATACAGAGAGGTGTTCCAGCCACCCCAGGGATTGCCACCACCTAGAAAGCAGGAGCACGCCATTCTTCTGAAAGAAGGATTATCACCGATCAGTGTTCGACCATACCGCTACCCCCAGATTCAGAAAGATGAAATTGAGAAGCTGATCAAGGAGATGTTGGAAGCAGGGATCGTCAGACCTAGCATGAGCCCTTTCTCCAGTCCAGTCCTACTTGTCAAAAAGAAGGATGGGAGCTGGAGGTTTTGCGTGGATTACAGGGCCCTAAACAAGGAGACAGTACCGAACAAATTCCCCATTCCAGTGATCAATGAGTTATTAGATGAGCTGCATGGAGCAATTGTGTTTTCAAAGATGGATCTGAAGTCAGGCTACCACCAAATCAGAATGAAAGAAGGGGACATTCAGAAGACGGCTTTCAGAACACACGAGGGGCACTATGAGTTCTTGGTGATGCCATTTGGGCTCACTAAAGCCCCGGCTACCTTTCAGTTATTGATGAACAGGGTGTTCAGGCAATACCTGAGAAAGTTTGTGCTAGCCTTCTTTGATGACATTTTGGTGTACAGCCATACCGAGGAGGAACATCTGAAGCATCTGAAGGAGGTTATGAGGATTCTACAAACACATCAGCTGAAAGCTGACTTAAAGAAGTGCAGTTTTGCCTAGTCGAGGGTGGAATATTTGGGACATGTAGTGTCTCAAGAGGGAGTGGCAGCCGACCAGTCAAAGATTGAAGCAATGCAGAAATGGCCCATGCCCAAGAACATCAGTGGGTTGAGGGGTTTTTTGGGACTGACGGGGTACAACCGGAGATTTGTGAAGGGGTACAGTACCATCGCTTGGCCGTTGACAGAGCAGCTAAAGAAGGACAATTTTCTGTGGGGAGAGGCGGCGACCCAGGCTTTTGAACGATTGAAGACGACCATGACGACCGTCCCAGTGCTAGCTCTCCCGGATTTCAGCCATGTATTTGTGGTGGAGACTGATGCTTCAGGGTATGGCTTGGGAGCAGTGTTGATGCAGAATCATAGGCCTATAGCTTATTTTAGCCAGGTGCTATCGACCAGGGCATGATTGAAGTCAGTATACAAGATAGAACTGATGGCCATCGTCTTAGCCATTCAGAAATGGCGCCCTTACCTGTTGGGTAGGCATTTCATTGTTCGCACGGATCAGCGGAGCCTGAAATATTTGTTGGAGCAAAGGATGGTGACTGAGGAACACCAAAGGTGGCTGTCAAAACTGTTGGGCTATGACTTTGAGATCAAGTACCGACCAGGGGTGGAAAACAAGGCGGCTGACGCCTTATCCAGGTGTGTGGGGGAGTTTCAGGAGTTGACAGTTTCAATACCCCTGATGGTTGACTAGGGAGCCATCAAGGAAGAAAGCAAAAGGGATAAGGAGTTGGGAAAGATCAGGGAAGACCTCCAGAAAGACAAGAGTAGCCATCCGTGCTACTGCATTGAGGGGGAGAGATTATTGTATCAAGGGAGGTTTGTGATGCCACGAACTTCCATACATATCCCCCACCTGTTGCAGGAGTTCCATGGCAGTGCAGTTGGAGGCCATTCAGGAGTTCAGAAGGCGTGTATGAGACTAGCAGCGGAGCTCTATTGGAAGGGCATGCATATAGATGTGGATGAGCTGGTGGCAAGGTGTGAGGTGTGCCAAAGGAATAAATATATGGCGATGGCACCAGGAGGGCTACTCCAACCCTTGGAGCTTCCAAACAGAGTCTGGGAGGAAGTGTCCATGGACTTCATTGACGGCCTACCTCGCTCAGAGGGATTCACAGTCATTTTGGTAGTGGTGGACCGCCTCAATAAGTATGCCCATTTCGTCCTCCTGCGACACCCGTACACTGCGGTCTCAGTGGCAGCATCATTTATTAGAGAAGTGAGATTACACGGATTCTCTGCTTCAATTGTGTCAGATAGTGACAAAGTTTTCCTTAGTCAATTCTGGAATGAACTCTTCCAAATGCAGGGCACTGTTCTCAAGAGGAGTATCGCCTACCATCCACAGACAGATAGATAGACATAGGTGGTAAATCAGAGCTTGGAGACCTACTTGAGGTGTTTTGCTTCGAAAACACCACATAAGTGGGCCAAATGGTTACAATGGGCAGAGTATTGGTATAATACTTCGTATCACTCTGCATCACAAATGACCCCTTTCAAGATGCTTTATGGAAGAGACCCACCACAGTTAGTGCATTATGGGAAGGGAAACACATCGATCTTTTCAGTTGAGCAGTACTTAGAAGAAAGAGACCAGGTGCTGGAGGAGTTAAAGAAGCACTTGGGAATGGCACAACAAATCATGAAGAAGCGAGCAGATACACACAGGAGAGACATACAATTTGAATTGGGGGAGAAGGTATTTCTGAAGTTAAGACCCTACAGGCAGAAATCAGTGGCAAACAGGAGGAAGGAGAAATTGGACCTGAGGTATTTTGGCCCCTATGAGGTCACTGGGAGGATTGGAGCAGTAGCGTATCGTCTGAAGTTACCCCCGTCCGCCACCATACACCCGGTGTTCCATGTGTCACAGTTGAGGAGAGCGCTTGGGGAGCATGCAGCCAGTGCCGAGCTACCAGCATCATTGACAAAGGACTTGGAGGTGGTCATGGAACCCATGGAGCTGAAAGGAGTAAGAGTTAATAAAAAAGTAACCAAGGAAGTGTTAATCAAATGGAAAGATCCTCCCGACTACGAGGCTACCTGGGAGCCCTATGAGATGGTGAAGCAGCAGTTTCCAGACTTTCACCTTAAGGACAAGGTGAATCTTTGGGAGGGGAGTAATGTTACGAGTGGACCGGTCCCCATTGGACCGGACCGGGCGGAAACAGAAGGAAGGGGCGCAAGCCCCTGTGGGCCCCACGTGGGTTTAAATTTGATTTGGGAGGGAGATTTTTGAATGAGGGGCTGTTTTAGGAAAATTGCAATTATCCTTTGTCTTTAATTAGGAGTGACGGAGAGAGATTAGGGGTTATCTTGAATTTGAATTTTCTCTTTGAGATCTAGGGTTTGTCTTGGCTCTTGGCGTTGCCGGAGATGGTGGAGAGTTTTTCCTTCCTCTCGAATTGAAGGAAAATTGTATCTTGCAAGTGCTTTTCATCTATTAGTGGAATATAAGTGTTTGCTTTGATTTCCTACGGATATCTCTCAATTTTCTCTCAGATTTCTCACCAATTTGGGCTGTTTTCTGTTGTGGACAGCAGTTTTCGCTGTTTAGATACTTAATTTGGGTTAGGTTTACTTGTATGTGCATACAAGTATTTCCTATCAAAGTATCAGAGCATCGATTAGGGACCTTAGGCGGCTGAAATCCCTATTTTTCAGCGAGCTTTTGGCTTCCGGAAGTGATTTTTTTGAGATCCGTTGGGAAAAACGATGGCCGGAAAGAAGGTTGACGTCTTGGAAGGTGAAGTCGGACAATTGAAATCCGATTTGGAGGAAAGATTCTTCAACTTCCAAAATCAAATCATGCATTGATGACAAATTCAAATAGGAGGGGGCGGTTTATGAGGAAAATTATTCACGGAAGGCCTGTTTAGTAATTATGATTTTATTTGTATTCTCTAAGTAGGGGAAGGGATTAGGGTTAGAGTTATGTGCTATGTTCGCCGATTTCTGGGTTTTCTCTTAGGTGTTTGGGCTCCAGCCACCGATTAGGTATTGGGAAAGCTAGATTTTCCTCTCGAATTGATGATTCATTGTATCTTGTTTATTTTCTTCTACATTTTTAATCAATTATCAAGCTCCCTAGCGTTTTGCCTAGGTATTTATCTCAAAATCCTACTTGAACCTTGCTGAAATTCCAAATTTCAGCCAAGGCTTCTACAATTTCTGCATTTGTTTCCTAACAAAATCATAATCTCAAATGTTTCACGATCAAATTTTGAGTTTGTCACATTGAATAGCTTAAGATAAGAAGATAAATAATGGAATTGATCAACAATTAATATCATAATACAAAAAATAAAACAAAATATCCTATTCGAAAAATGAAAAAATATGTTGCATGAAATGAGAAAATATGATGAACATATGGCGATAAAGAAACCACAATTAAGGTATATGATCCATTAGCTAAGGAATGCATAGTTCAACAAAAAGACAGCCCCTTTCTTTCATTAGTCTGAATCCATGACTTTGTTCAGAGTTAGCCAACCCTTAAGTTTGGGTTAAGGCTAACAACGAATAATGACAAAGATGATGGGTTGTTCATTTGACCAATGCCTAAAACTACAAGTTGATTACTAGCAAAATTCTACAAATGAAATCTTTGAAACGCAAGACTCACTTGAAGGATATATGTAATTATCAAGCTCATTAAGCAAAGAGGTAGCTAAAAGCTCACCTTTATATGTGCCGTATAATGTCCACTTGCCATGCTTCCATAGTGATTGCTCAATGCATACAACTCATAAGTTTGACGCTGAGAGTTACTTTTGTTGGCAAGATAATCGGTCAAATCAAGGTCATGAATGGGGAAGTTGACAAAAGTTTCCAACTTTTGCTTAGTAGACCGACTGAAAGAGAATCTCTTCAAGTGAATAACAAGAACCTCAGGAAGCCTCCATAAATCCAACTTTTTGCTGGCCTGCCTTTGCTCCTTGCATTTAGGACAGAACCTTACAAGAAGAAAAGTTTCAGACTTGACCATGAATCTAATTAAAAAAAACGAGATATTTAGGGGGTAGATGCAGCTGGAATATTTTTAACTGTCAGGCAAGTGCTATTTAGTAACTCTTGTTGGATCTTAGTAATGAAATATCAGATGCGTTTCTACCAGGGCAAGCCATCTACTGCACTCAAATGGCTATCAAGGATATATATACTGAAAGCATTCAAGAAGTAATACTTAAAACGAAGATACTTCAATAACTTCATAAACTAGAGTCAACATGGCAATACTTCGGCATCATATGGCAATACTTTTCTTCTGATTTACTTCCAAATAGCCTCACCATAACGTTATTCTGATTTATACAGGAAACATTGAATAAAGAGCTCTACACTGAGCGTGTGCCTCCTCCGCAGCTTTACAATTATGGTCTATGGGCAACAAAGTTGCAGGTACAGATGTTACATACCTATCAGAGTGGCGGCCACTTTATTTGAAATAGTATAATGCAGTGCTTTAAATCATCACCAAACCTTAGCATTAGTAACATGATAAGCCTATTATACTAAGCAATAACCGATAGATGTATTATCAGTGTGATGAGGATATATTGTTGAAGCACTAAACAAGAGCTGAGAATGCACACAAATATTGGCATGCGCATACTACGAGAACTAACAAAAATAATCATAACTGATGGAAAACATATCAGATGCAGTTTTGAAAACATTTCCTGAAAGTAAAACAAAAGCCACAATGAAACTGACCACATGTCCTCAGGAACCAATGGCTCTTCCCGCAAGAAAGCATCAAGGCAAGTATATAAAGAGAGAGGCTCGCCACGCGATCTTTTAGGTAATGGCGGACCATATTTGTATACTTCTGGAAGGATCTCTAGCCGGCGAGTATCATAGTTCTGAAAATCCTTCTGGTACCAATTGATAAAAACTAGTATTGATGATGATGATGATGACGACGACGATGATAACAGCTTAAAAGACTTCTCTTCTACCGTCGATAGATCTATGAGTTGGTTATTTTCATCAACCAACTCAAGGAACAGGTGGCAGTCTGCTTCTTCTCTGTCATGGTTGCCTCCATCTTTATGATCACTCTCAGCACATTCCTCATTCATACTAATATCTTGATCAGTAGCATGTGATGCCATACGTGGGCATGAATTTGAAAGACTAGCAGGCTGTGACTTTTCACTTTGTAGCATAGGTATAAGCATCGTGAGTAGTGCTCTTTGGATATCAGCACTTCGTGCAGCTCCATCATATGAAAATGGAGCTAAAAGAGGCATACCATAGGGCTTCCATGCCTTTATGCTTCCGTTTCCCTCTCTAAGAAAGTTAAAAAGAAAGAAATGCGTGGGCAAGTTAAAACTTACTGAATTATAAAATGTTGAAAACCACTCCAAAAAGTTCGAAAAAGATATATATATACAAACGTGAGAATACAGTATAAAATTGTGGACGGAACAAAATAATAATAAATGACAAGCAACTTTAAGAAATTATTTGACCTGTATGAATAGGTTGCAATGCAAACTTATTTCATTAGAAAACTTCAATAAAATTTCATTTCACTTGATGGAGAAGAGGATAAAGGCTCCAAATGAAAGTATGTCTGCATATATGTTAATGGCCATGCATATCTTGATACATTCATCATCATGAAAAATATTGGAAAGAGGAAATAGCATTTTTTTTCCAACGCAACGAGCATTTGTTTTCTAAGCAATTTTTCCAACTTCGAAAGAACCTGCAACTAGGTCCTTTTGATGAAAACCAACAAAATATACCATCAAATTCAGATGAGTGTTTTTAAACTAAAAATAACTGTGAACATACGCCAAAAAATCTCTATGTTTCATTATTGGGAATTCCCTCTTATTTTAATGGCGTGGAGTGCAAGTAACAAGGTGTATAGGGAAAGGGCAGGGTATTGGATGGAGTTGGTGGAGAGGTGCTGTGATGGGGCACGAGGTGAGGGGCAAGCAGGCGAGGGAAATTAACTCGGTTACTGCTTTCTTTCTGTCCACGATTAGGTGGAGGTGCGGGTAGGTCTGAACTAGCTTTCAAGGTTAACTAGTAAATTTGTGCAATGGGCAAGCCTTCTGTGTATAATCAAACTGATTTGAAAAGTATGTAAATGCCATATTTAATCTTATGCCTCGAACTGATATGAATAAAATGATAATAGTTATAATCATCACGTGATAATTTAATCTTATGCCCTAGAATCTTTTGAGTGCATCTGGACCTTCACAGCCAAATGCATTCCGATCCTTAATCATCATTTTGCACCTCAGCCTTAATCATTCGTCACAGAGACATTTCAAGTATCCCCACTCATCATCACTGTCATCAATCTTCAAGCCATCAAGCATCTCTTCCCTCTCATTGGGACATCTACCTCTACTTTGAATCGGTCCTAATAAAAGGAAAATTTCATTTTTCATGCCAACTAAATTTTGATCATAAAGGATCTAAAATGAAAATCAACATCGTTGACCTTCATATACCATACCTAAAATAGCAAGCAACAAAATTTCATCAATGATTATTTAGTTTGAAATCAAGCATAAGAAAAAATGAATGTTGTGCACTTAATTATGCACAAGAAACCTAGTATTTGGGGTGCTTATTGAATTCAAATTCATTGGTCATTTGGTTCCATCTTAGTGGCAACCTCCATGCTAGCTTGGACAATCTTCCGCCGTTCAACTTAGTCTTCGTAGGAAGAGAGCGTTAAAGGCCTCAAAGTGTGAACAACGTGGTATTAATCGTGGGATTCTATTTACTAGCTTTTGTTTTATGTTTTCTTTTGCAATTGCTTAAAAGACTTGGCTCTCTCTTGTATTTTCTTGCCTAGCAATTTAAACATCGCGAGTTTCTTATAATTTACTTGACTTTGATGCATGATTAAATAATTGTGGAGCTAATATTTAATTTTCTTTTAAAGTTCTTGTGTAACTCCCCATTGCATCACATCAGTAGATCTAATTAGCTGAGATATACCAGCCTCACACTTTATGATTTACCTGGAGTGCCCATCGTGGGGCATGACAGTTATAGTGCCATCAAGTTAAATTGAACAGTCATTTGAGTTGAGCAGTCGAGAGGGCTTGTGATAGGCTAAAGTTTGTCATTTTTAATGAGATGACATTAAGGAGAGTGGAAAATCCATTTATTGTCAATGAGGATCGTCTTGACAATGAAATAAGGTTTTGCAATCCCAACGCTAGAGGATTATAATAAGGACTAAAACTCTTTATGGACATAACTCTCAAAGACGATGGAGTAACTCAAATGAGTCTTTCATAGAAGATTCTTCTGGAGTGGCTATTGGCCTACACATGTCACATAATAACACAAATTTGATCGAGCAAAGAACAAAGATAATGATGATTGTTGAGCAACATCATACCAAATTAATTGAAGACGTTTTGATCACAATCAAAATTGCTCCTCAAATATCTCTTGATTCTTTAAAAAAACCATGACGACATGAAAACTTGATCGAAACACTTCAACAGCAATCAAACTGTTCTAAACGTCCATTTCAAGAAAAAGACTATGCCAACATAGTCATAATATTGAGATTACTAAAAAAAGGCACCAATATTATATAGGTCACTGCGATTTCAAATAGTTTGCTCGTGCATAAGCGAGATATTTCTAATAAGCAGTTGAGCTTTTGGAGATATCAGCCGAGCTCAAGGTTTTGAGGTAGATGGAGAACGCTCTTTTGGAGAAACGGCTGGAGTCCGAGTGGCAGCTGCTTATAATAAGGAGGATTTTGCATGGATAACCATTGAGGTTGAAAGATTAGAGCATACTTTGTCATCATCCACTGAAGAATTTGATTTAGTAAATCGTTAGTTCAAGACTACTCAGCCATGGCAAATGATGCTGCAGGATTGATCAATTAGTGTTAGACAGCAAATAGGCAGCATTCAATTCAGACTTTGACAGCTTCCCTAGCTGTTTTGTTGATGATATTCTTCTTATTGATAAGAGTAGAGAGAGAGTTGAAGGAAAACTTGAATTATAGAGGTCAACCTTAGAGTTTAAAGGTTTTTGTGAGAAGATCTAACACCGAATACATGGAGTATAATTTTAGTAGTAATACATCTAGTGGGAGATTGTGACTTTGGGCGATCAAGTCATTAATGTTTTAGATATCTTGGATTTATTGCTCAAAGTGATGATGAAATAGATGGGACTATTATTAGTAGAATTCAAGTTGGATTGTATATTGTGTGAAAAAAAGTACCTCTCAAACTTAAGGGAAAATTCTATAAGATGGTGGCGAGACCTATAATGCTTTATGGTGCAGAATGTTGGCTAATAAAAGAGAAGTATAAAATTAAGTGTTGCACATATGAGGATGTTCAGGTGGATGAGTGGCTTCACTCTTGAAGACAGAATATGTAACGAGTATATACGTGAAAAGGTTGGAATAGCTCCAATGGAAGATTAGATTATAAAGAGTCGCCTCAGATGGCTTGGACACATAAAACGTCAACTTTTCGATGGCTTGGTTAGGAGAGATGTATTAGATCTGACCTATATTAAGAAATATAGAGGTAGACCTTAGAAAATATCATAAATGACATTTTTTTATTAGATTTAAATGAGAAATTGACTCTTGATAGGATACAATGTAGAAAAAAGATTCATGTAGCTGACCCCATGTAATGGGATAAAGGCTCGATGTTATTGTTGTAGTAACTATGCAATCTTTCTATTCTTATAATGAGAAGGGGTATTCCAACCTTTCAATTCTAAAAAGTAAAATCCCTTGAATTTCAAAAGTAAACATGGAAGCAACTGTTAAATTTCTAAAGAAATTCCACGCCCCTTAGCTATTGCAATAATTCCAAATAGGAGAAGCAGTTTATTTAGGGAAAAAAATCTTGCATTTTCACATTCAGCAACGAGTCTCTAGACCCTTGTATTTAAATAATTGAACCTTTTCTAAAAGAAATCACGCTGCCTATTGATTTCTTTCCTTTTTTACTCTTGATAAATAGAAATAAACAATAAGTTCAAAATTATTAAAACAAAAATGACTAATATCCAATCCCTAAATCTAGAGGTCTAATTTTATTTAACGAAGAAAACTCTTTTCTCAAACCACTGATGCTGCATATTAATTTCTTTCTTTATAAAACAAATTCGCTCCTTTATAAGTAGAAATAAAAATATGGTCCAAACTATAAACAGGAAGAGGGGCGAATACCAATCCCTATATGTGGAGGTCTGATTTTATTTCTGTTATGTTCTTAACTTTTAGTATTGGCTATTTAGACAAGATGGTAGGAGCTTAAACTCTTTTCTTCAATCACTTGCTATCATCCAAACATCGCATCTTCCCATGCACACAAAACTGGTCAAGCCTATACTCAGAGTGCTAACATCATCTTAGTTCATTTACACTATTTGACCGGAACATTAAGTTTAAATTCACTGCCAATAGCAGTTACAGACAAGTAATCCTCCCATGACAGAATACATGTCCAACTTCTTAAAATGTACAGCATAAAGGATATAAAATAAATATATTTAAAAACAAAGAATAAAAAAAGAAGCCCAACTTACGGTTCTTCACGGCGATGTACAAACTGAAGTAAAATTGACTTTTTATCCAACTTTGGAACCTTATAAGCAACAAGGTGCTCATCCTTGATATTAGATACTGGAAGCATAGGGTCCTCTACAAACTGATGAATCTTGTGATCCCGAATCTGCAATTAAAGTTAAACAAGTTGATTGATCACAAGAGGCATCAAGCAAAAAAAAAAAACCTCCAAGAAATTCCATCACAGCATCATGCAAACCTCAGCAAGAATAAGTTTTTCTCCACCCTTCACCGAGCATGCATTGCTTAGAACTTGGATAAGGTCCTTGCACCGACCCTGCTTGGGAACATTTACAGTGCATGGGGTTGGAAGTGCACTGCCATCACTAGTGAAGACCAAGATAGTCATGGAATTGGCAGATGGTGATTGAAGAGGCAATGAAAGGTACATGAATGGATCAAAAGTAACAGAAACTTTACGGCACACAGGGCAGACTAAAGTAGACTTGTATTGACCCTGCCAAATATTCATTGATCAGAAATCAGAAAGATAAAAATAATGAAGTACTAGCTCTCATCAGAAACTGGCATCCAATATCTAGCAGACAAAAAAATTAAAAGAGACATAAAATCGATAGGAAAAAGTGAGGAGAAAATTCCCTCATATAAGCCCAAAGACATATCTACAAGCACATTGTACCATATGCATACATATACTATATACACATACAGTGCACAAATGTGTAAGAGAATGGAAATTTTCTATTTTCATAATTATTTTATATGTTTTTACCTTTAAAATGTAAGATCATGATTATTGGTGTTCACCTCAACCTGAGATAATTTGATATTTTTTATGAAGAATTAATCATTGTTCAAACTTAGTGATAATTTAGATGGCTTATAATGGCTCACACAAAATGTACTATACTCTTTACTGTTGGTCGCAATAACTGTAATTATTTAGAAAAATGATAGCAGAATATCTAGATATTTATAGTTGGAATATTTTGACCCTAAAACATTAAATAGCTTTGTTTGGTTACAAAGTAGAAAGAAAAGATTACATGAAATTAAGTACTTGATAATACTTTCTATATCATAAAAATACTCTAATAAACAAGTATATGCACAATGTTCTCATCTAGTAAAATATTTAAAAAATTACAAACAAATTTCTGTTTGAAATCGATAAAAACTAAAAAATTGCAATATGAATTTCTGCGCTTCTTTAACTCTTTAAAGTTGCAAGTTTGAAACATACGGGTATTCAATGTACAAATATACTAAATAATTGCATATATTCAATCCAGAGAAACATGACATTGTTTTTAAGTACCCTGAAAAAACAAATAAACAAAACTATTCATATATCAGGGAATTCACTCCACAAAAGTCTCCCATGACATATGAAAAGATGGTTACAGTGTAGATGAAAGAGAATTTCTAGGTTGTCCCACTTACAGCCCAAGAAGTCTCGATGTGATGGCATTAAAAGAGAGAAAAGAGTGAAAACTTAAAGCCTCGATTGATTGTGCATTGCACCCAAATCCTTTGTGCCAACTCAGATGCTAGCATATCAAAGGCTTTACTCTAGATGAGAAAACAATGACAATCACATCAAAACACCTAAATAGAAGAAGAGCATCATTTCTAAACATGAATTATACATTGAAAAAGGTTGAGAACAACAAATGAGGATTATAAGTAGGGCTATTTCCCTTATTTATGTTTTAAACTTCTGATTTAAACCGCCCAAGTACCTGGCATACATCAACAATAATAGAATTATTACGAGCAATGTGGTTTGCCCAGTATTCATCTGCAACTTCTTCATCAGGACGTCCATCTGCATCTTTAGACTTTATATAAGGCCTATGCTTTACCCGGTTCAAATCTTCATGAAGTCCATCTAAAAGAAATGCCAAAAGCTCCTGAAATGGGCCATACATCATTAAGCATGAAAAAGCTGCACGAGCAAATAAATTAAAAAGCAGAATAACTAAAACCTGAGAGTCATGTTGATTATATCCACTAAACTGAGGAGCAAAACGAGCAAGTTTTGCCTTAAATGGCCGAGGAGAAACTGACGTTCGGCCAGGACCCCATAGTTTTCTTAGTAAATCCCCAAATGCCATAGCAAGCTCACCCTACACATCAAAGTTTAGTTAGCAGCCACATATAGAGGACTTTCATATAAGCAGACTTCACATTACTACAAGGAAAACAATGATCACCAAAGATTGATAGAATTATACAACAGCAAGGGAAACAACAATTATTAATGTCATAAAAAGCCTCTAAAAACAGGTATTGGTTCCAGCATATAAATGGCGTCATATCAGCCAACAGCCATATGCACATTTTATTAATTACAGCTTTCAGAAATTTGATCAATAATGTTCTACAAAGACACTTTTTTCCCACGTATTGCTAATTCATCATGAATTAATCTTAAGGATCATGTTTTTTAATCAATCCTTATTCCTTCGCAGTATTGAACTGTTAAATTCAGAGAATTTAAGAGGTAAAAGGCTTAATTTTATTGCACAAACTTGTCCCTATCTATAGATCTATACAAGATATCTTAATAGAGAAACACATAATTGTATAATCATGCATAATTGCTCTAATATAATGCTTCCTAAATCAATCACCTAAATATCGAAGGAGATCAGCGCAATCCCGATGAGCCTCCCAGGGATTCCCATCCTACCTGTGAGATCAAAATGCTAAGAGACTGCTAGGATTTAATAGGTGAGCCTCCCACGGATTCTCATCCTAATCGTGGGATCAAAATGCCAAGGGACTGCTAGGATTTAACACTCCCCCTCAAGCTGGGAATACAAATCCATCATTCTCAGCTTGATAATCAATTACAAAAGGGTAGAGTTATCAAGTCCCACAGTAAGAATATCTGCAAACTGATATTTTGATGAGACAGGGTCGATACATACAAGACCACTGACTAATTTCTCCTTTATAAAATGTCTATCCACTTCTATGTGCTTGGTTCTGTCATGATTGGGAGGAAATAGGAAAAAGTTTGTTTTCCCAAATCTTTTATAAATTGTTCCTAATATTTTCTCTAATTAGTGTAAACATTTAATTTGATGATAAGGAAGACATTTGGAAGCGAGGAGAGGAGATCTGAGGGAGAAAGAAGGAAGTTTTCAATAGGAAAGAAAACTTGTTTTGAGGTATGAAAGAAGTTCAATACTTGTTGAGATATTTAAATTGAGATTTAATATTTCTTAAAGTTGTTTTAGTTTTGTGAACAGTTAAAGGTTTTCAAAACTGTACGAATGCTGGAAGAGCAAATAAGTGGGTATTTATAAAAGTTTAAATTTCTTTATTTCAATTCTATTTTAATTAGAAAGAATTACATATGTAATTGTTTAGACTTATGAATTATGCTACTGTTGGAAATGATTACCTGAAATAAGCAACGATATGTATGAGTACAATTATGAGAAAGAAGAATGACATGTAATGAGTATATTAAAGAAATAGAAAGTAAAGTTTATGATGTAGGCAAGGGAGGGGGGTCGAATCAAATCCTAAAATTTGATTTTTGACTTCTCTAGCTCATTAATGTCAAGTGGGATGTTAGCTCATTACAAAATCAACCACCGTTTTGATTTTACTGCAATTTTTTTTCTACTTGTTTGTTGTTTTCGTTCCCAAGGTGTATCACACTCCCGTTTAAATCATTGTCACTCATATTGACCAGCTTTTGTAATAACATTTTGTAATATAAAATTGTTTCGGGCATACAAAAAACAACATAAAATATTTGAAACCTTAAAATAAAATATTCACTGGCAATAGGTTTTCTTCAGGTATATTTCCAGACCTTTAGAACCCAAAAATGATACCTTTAGAACTTCTGAAAACATGCAAACTTTCATAGTTGAAAGGTAAATTTTCTTCCAACAACTTCCTTGTTTTAAGGGCAAAAGACAAAACCGAAAAGAACAAAACACCAATGCGCCATAAACTTCCTTTTAAATCATGAATTGGACCAATCATTGTAAACTGGTTGTACCAACTCAGATAGTTGATTGAGGACTTCAAATAATAGATAACATGTGACAATCCACACGTGTCCGAAGAACTTGGGTGCACAAAAGTAATTCAGAAAAACTTTTATTACAAAATCACTCACAAGTAAACTGCAATACAGTGAAAGAACGACACAATATCAAATCATTGCAATAAAATATTCAAATTGATAATACTTGCAAATTTGAAGGAACTAAACTTTCGAATTACTTAATGTGAAAATGAAAAAATTATATAAGTGCAGTTACTTACAACCATCCCTAGTGGATTTTTCCAGTTAATTTCTTTATGGTAGTCTTCGCGGAAGTATCGAGCTAATTCTGGTGTGTGGACAAGACATTGTATTGCACTATTCATGAAGCAAGTATTTCCAAGGTTCAAAAGTCCATTGAGACCTACAGGGGGTCCCCTAGTAGCAACAGTGCTGGTGGCATGTACAGTATCCAACTCACTGCTTGGGGATGTAAGCAGTTGGCTTTGTGAGATCTCTGAACTGCAACTTCTTGAAACATTCTTGCTTGTTGACAAACCTTCAGCAACCGATATGCTTGACCTACAAGGTTCTGCAGCTAAAGAACCAGAATCCCTCTCATTAGATCCATTTTCCTGAACCGAACTCATACATCCACCATCAGTGGTACCGTTGCAATCACCAAGGACCTCTACAAGAATCTGTTCATTATAAAATTAGCTGCTAATCAAACACCTCACAAAAGTGTAGTTAAAATCTCAAGGGTTTTTAAACAAACTTAACAACTACTTAATTAAACTGATATTAAAAGAAGTATGATTAAATTTCAAATTAATCTGACTAATTAAAATGCTTTCAAGGAAAAGAAATGCTCTAAATTTCTTGCGGACTTCACCACCATCAAATTAGAAGAAAACAAACTTAACAACCAATTGAAATAATATCCAAGAAATTTTGAAAATCAAATAATAATGAATAGGTTACCTATATTTATTGTTTGCTAGGCAAACAATTGGAGTTACTAATTAAATACTTAAGTACCAAAGAAAAGTCACAAACCTAACCTGTCAAGCTTTGAACTTTGATCACCCATATGCCTCATAGCTCATAAGAGCAAAGTTGGAAGCTCAACCTCAACAAATCAAAGTACAAAAAGAAATGGGCAAATTTCACTTTGATCCCTCTATTATATGTCATTTTATCCCTCAGTTTTCCCTTGGAGCAATTTTACATCCAGTGCACATGCCAAAAACCACCTAGTCCTACTTTCACTATATTATCTTCGAGCTATTTCCTCTTCTAAAATTTCCTATCTATCCTCCTAATTTTATCACATTTTAACTTAAAAGCAAAAAAGTCATCTTTGATAAGACAATTTTTTCAATAAAACTCTCTTTCAAGAGAACTCTCAACTGAAAGATAAATTTAATAAAAGCTCTCTCTCATCTTGACATTCAATCCAAACACTGCCTCCATTAAATCTATACAAAAAAGGGGCAAGCCCAACTCAAATCTCTAACAATCTCAAAGCTTAGGGCTGATATCAGGTAGCAATGATAGCCCATCAGTCCATCACTAAACATGCTCCTATATATCTCAATCTCCCAATTCACATCTTCCCAAAAAATTTATCCAATATAAAATATTCCTTACAAATTTCAGCTCAAATTCCATTATAAATACTACAAACTCTATTTGAGATACTTAGCAACAAGAATTGGAAGAATTTTATGAGAGAATAGATGAATCCTCAAAAAAAAAAACAAAAATCAAACATAAAACATCATTGAACTATTAAAATGGAAGAAAAAAATGTCTACCACTATTCTAAACAAAAATCAAGGATGCTTATTCTAAACATGGAATATTTCTCTCTCAAAAGAAACATATCAAAGACCTATTGAAAAAAAAAAAAGAGACACATATAAGCCTTATGAAACTCTAACTAGCCCATGACAAAAATTGGACGTAAATAAAGAAGGAATAGAGTTAGACATGAGGCAATAACAAATATTAGTTAAAAAATTAATCCTGAAATTGCATTTACTGTAAGTCTCATCAATCAATTTAGCACAAACCTAAAGAATCTCACCTTATAGCAAAATTTGTCCAACAATCATAGCCAACACATCGCACCAGACATTCTACTTATAAGTGGCAAAGGAGATGGGTACGTGGCTTCGTTCCTTCACCTCCAAGGCATTGGAGTTGACCCAAGATACCTTATACGGGTTGGGGTGAGGAACGGCAGACAGACCTAACTGGGATACCATGCTGGAGGAAACAGCATTAATGCAACTACCACTATCCACTATGACTTTACAGTTCTTGTCTTTGATTTTGGTGTAGGTATGAAAAATCGTGGTCCTACGCCAGTCATCAGTGGGTGTCGGATGTGATAGTGCACATCTCACCACGCAGATGGGAGAGGTATCCAGCTTTTGAAGGCAATTGAGGACCGTAGTGTCGTCCTCCTCCTCGAAGTATTCGTCTTCTTCCTCGACTTGATGGATCTGATCAACCTCGGGCTCGAGATCGTCCTCAGTCATCTCCTCAACAATCGAAACCCTTATAAGGATTGGAGCACTGAGAAGCGATATGCCCATACCCCTGGCATCGAAAGCACTTGGTCCCGGGACTGGACCGAGGGGCATCCGGGTGGGAGGTTTACTTCTAAAATCAGATCTAGGTGCAGGTGGACCGCTGGGTGGTCGGTCGTGCTTCCCGGAGTGGGTCGTGAAGCAGGAGTGTGCGGGGTGGAACTACCGGCTGATCTATACGAGGGTCTAGAATCATGGGAACGACTCGGGTGTTGAGAACGGGACTCCTCTAGATCAAGCACTAAGCTGTAGGCATTCTCCAGTGTAGTGACGTTCCGGGCAAATAACTCATTGCGTAGATCCTCACGCAACCCGGTTCGAAACATAGAATAAGATTTGCGACGGGGGTGGTAGAGGTCTCCCCTTTGCATCTAATCAAGAAGTCATCAAACGAAGCGATGTACTCCTTCACTGGTTTATTGCCTTGGGTCAACCTATTCCACCTGTCCAATAGGCGGGGGAAGTACAACGAGGGTAAGTACTTCTGTTTGAGTTCCCGCTTCATGGACAACCAGTCTACAATAGGGTATTCATTCCTATCCTCCCTAAGACTCTCTAAATTCGCCCAAAACTGACTCGCCCTACCCGTAAGCTTCATGGTAGCAAAACTAACTTTCCTGGCCTCAGAAATATCATACCACTTAAAGAAACTATCCATACCTTTGACCCAGTCCAGGAAGAGCTGGGCATCGAGGGTGCCATCAAAGGTAGGAGCATCAACCTTAATGTTTTTCATAAGTGGTGCATCGGGATCATGGCCGTGGTAGGTAGTACGATGATTGGCACGGTGATGCCTCTCATCCAAATCAGGATCATGACGTGGATCATGTCCGTGGTAGGGAGCTCGATGATTGGCCCGATGTGGCCTCTCATCCGGGTAAGTTTCATCCCCATACATAGAAGTGGGTCTAGATGGGGTGTAGGGAGTAAGGTGGTCTCTAGCTCGCTCAAGTGTATCGAATCTTTCGGTGGTGTTCCTACGAAGCTCAGCTAGATCCGCCTGGTTTTCCTTGAGTTGCTGGCTAATAGTGTTCATTTGACCTACCAAGAGGTCTAAGGTCCTTCCTAGTTGTTCCGGGTCGATTCCTAAACACAATGGGGTGCTTGGGTGGTTTCCTAGGAAGTGGACAGCAAGCTAGGGGATGAAAAGACACTCTAAAATGATCCTAAATGGTGCAGGAAATTCAGGGACAGCAAACTACACTCAAGTAAAAAGTCACCCTAACAAGTAAAAGTGATGGCAAAGCTAAGGACAGCAAGTAAACACCTAAATGGGGGTCCTAAAGTTTGCCAAAAGCTGCTGGAATTTTCTGGACAGCCACTAAACAGTGGGTGTAGGGGAAACTAAAGATGCTTTATGCAAAATAAATGAAACACAATGACTTAGTAGCACCCTAGGGATAAAGTGAAAAGCTTTCTAAATGAAATTAATGCAAAATGAAAACACCAATAAGGAAAACTACCAGGAATCCTAAAACATGCAAGAGCATACCATGCTCTGATACCAGATGATGCAGGACTACTTAGATGCCATGTTATGAGTTTCACTTAGGCTTTGCACAACTCGTCAATTAGAATAAGTTCGGATTAAAATTACTAGCAATTATCCACGGCGAGTCAAACAAAGAGGGATTTAATCTTGTATAGGCTAGATCACATGCGTTAAGTTTTGAACATTCAAGATAATCAAGAAAATAAAGCAATGCAAAATAGTAGTTTCAAGTTAATCCCTAATCTAACAATGAGACGTAGGATGCATAGAAGATTACACTCAATTCCTACAAAGAACTAGGTTTGGCAAGAGCAAGTGAAAGAGCTTTCGTGATTGCAACCATCCAATGAGAATTTAGATTTAGAAGAAATAAGATGCAAGTGAAAAGAAAAGAAACCTTTGTTCAGGGAGACGTGTAGATCCTCCACGATAGCAACTACTCTTGACGAATATCCAAGGTCGACGAACTAAGATGTTCTCTTCATCGTGGGCTGAAGAAGTAGCCAAAATCCTTCCAAAATCTGAATAAATTTTCAGACTTTTTTGGCCCAAAAATCTGAGAGAAAATCTCAGGTTTCTCTAAGGAGACAATAGAATTCTTTGGAGGAAAGCTTGTGCCGGCAATTCAAGAGACGGCTTATGAGAGGGAAGAAAGTTTGGAAAGAAAAAAAAGGGAGCACGGTAAAGGCTTGGGCGGCAATGAAGAGGTGCCAGGAAATTCTTTCCAAAACAGCAGAAGAAAAAAAAGGCAAGAAATATGGAAGTTGGAGTCCCTGGAGTATTCGGCCAAAGAGAAAGAAATAATTTGAATTATTTCTAACTGGGTGGAGATTTGAAATTGCTCTCAATAACGTTAGAGGAGGTTTAGGAAAGAAATTCCCAAAATTCCTCCTGTAGAAGCCGGCGGTATGAGGAATATTGGAGCATTTAATGGGAGTATTAAAGGCTTCTTAATCTGGTTTAAGGATTTAGGAAAGTAAATAATTCTACCCAATTTAAATTTCAAATTCAAATGAGTTTAGATTATGAACTTTCCTAAAATAGATTTAGTATTTTAGGCAAGATTTTAAATTTCAAATAGATAATTTTGAATTCAAAATCTGTCCACAAAATACTCAATCCCAAATAGGCAATGGAGGTGAAAGGAGAAGAGGGAGTGGGGCGGTCGGCGGTGGGAAGGTTGGAGCCGGCGGGATGGGGGGTTCGGGTTGGGTGCTCAGCCGTGAGGGTAGGGAGAAAAGGATGGGGTTTCAAACAAGGAGGAAATCCGGTGGCTAAGTGGTTGTAAAAGAAAGACAAAGAAAGAAGAAACAAAAGGGAGAGAAGAAAACGAGTTAAACAAAGAAGCCACGAACCCGAGTTATCTAGGTTGGTGGGTATTGCGCGAATCCTCTTCCTCTCCTAGGAAGCTCTCTCCATTAGAACTCCATAGCTCTCAATGCTCATGCAAGAAGGAAATTTTCATTATCAATTATTCATTAGCTCAAAACAAAGGAAATGAGGCTATAAATAGCCGGGTACAAAGACTCAAGAAAATAAAAGACCAACTTGCCCTTTAGGCTTACATGCGACCACTCCCATGAAAGGGGTACAAAGGGAAAATAATAACGACACCTAAGCAAATAAGAAAATGCATAAATAAAATAGAATACAATCATGACTCAGAAATACAAAGACTCAATCGTGGTCGTAGATCTGTGACCACGTCTCTGATAAACCTTCCATGCTAATATGATGTCCCCATCAGAAGGGGCCTACGAAAGATAATTGTGACAATGCATTTACCATCATCATTGCTCACAATCCAATACAATATAATCGACCAAGCATATTGAGATAGACATTTCATACAAGAGAAACTAAAAAGTTGATTGATTTGCTTTTGAGATATGAATCGACTTGTATATTGATTTTTTAAATTTTATAGATGTTTGATAGACTGTTTATTGAAGGTTTTAGATAACTCTGGTAAATTATTTTGGGAAATTGATTGACATTCTTTCCAAGTTAGATCTTGGGGCGTGACACATTCACCAAAGGATTGCAACCATGTTCATAAGTATTGTAAGCAAATTTGGAATCAAAAATTCATACCATCCAGTTTGAGTGGGGAAAGACCGTGGAGCCCACTCTCTACACACACATGAGCACCCACCCCAATCTCACACAAGACCTCTACCTGGTAGAACCCACATATCAACCAATCTTAATAGACATCTTTGAACACACGAATTAAGGGTTCTAACCATTAGATCGATATCCTCATGACCTTCAAATTGCAATATGTGTGCTCCCTCTAGTTGTTGGACCCTCTTGGGGTCCCCCTTTTTTTTAGTTAGCCTCGATTTATTTTTACTGTAAAACTCTTGTAGGAGTCTTATATTCCTTCATACTTTGCACATTAAAAGAGAAAAAAATTATATATTTTCTAGTTTTCTACTTTCCTACTTTTCTACAAGCAACCAAAAAAAAAAATACTGAAGGCATATCAAACCAAAGAAAAAAAAAGTTGATAATAACAAAATAAAACTCACGTCCTGGTCCATTTGTATATTGGCATCATCAAGGGTCTTCTCCATGTCATTCATCAAATCATGTTTTTGATGGCCATAGTAGTCCCAAATGCAAACCTGTAGGTGAGGTAATCAGTATTATGCCGATTGAGAAGCCAGTGATCAAAACAAGTAACCAATACCTTACATTATCTAAGATAAGGTCAAAAACCTCGCAAGCCTTTCTATGAAGTTCTCGAACCGTTTCCTGCAGAAGTTGACATGAAAGCATTACTAAGCTTTCCTTACAGTACTTCATTTAAAATCACTTAAAAATTTCACTCATCAACTAAAGAAATCCAAAGGAAAGTAAACTTCTGTACAGATAAACTATCCTTGGCTGCATGATAATAATATTAAGTAACAAAACTGAAACACCAAATCCAGAGTTTGAAATCTAGTAGCAGCTCCAAAAACAAGCAAACAAAATGATGGAATACTCTGCATAACCTTTTTGCTTATTCTAATAATTGCTTGCCCCCTTTTAGGTGTTAGAAGTAGCTGAAGCCGTAGAGGGTAGACTTCAATGGACAAATCTGTTTGAGATAAACCTGAATTGATAGTCTTACGAGGCAATGTTGGACCTCCTCCATACCTGCCATCAAAGCAAAGATATAATAAATTCGAATTCTGACTCAACTGAAGTTTCTTCCGCACTAACTACGTTTGTGACACATGCGGACATAAGAAGAAGCTGATGAATAGAAAAAAAAATTCATTACTAAGAAAAAAGTAAAGGGAAGTGTTTGAGAAATATTTGGATGCAACAGAAGATGCTGACCGTTTAAGTCAAATTACAATATCAATTTGATGATTCAACAATTTATAGCTAAGAATAGGCAACGAAAAATAATGAAAGAAATCATCATAATAGAATAACAGTTGCATAATTCCCTCTCTTCTCAGAATGGAGACAGGGTGTAGCATGCTCAGCAATGGTCGCTAACTTAAAAATAAGAAAATAAATAATTAGAATAGTGAAAGGTTTTTTGTTTCAAACCCATGAACTCCAAAAGAATTCTGCTGATGAATCTTCAAGACACTAAACTGATAAAAATATACTGAATCTCATTGGAAAGCATGCCAGGTACCTCAAATGACAAAGGCTAAGTTGAACCAACGCTGGTTCTATTACCAAAATTTTTCACTGAACAACAAAACAAGAATATCTCATTACATCTGGGTTATGCACCATGGTTAAAAGATGCATGAATTTGTACAATCTCACTTCCATTTAGCGCATTGGCCCCTTGACAAAGAATATGATAGGAAATAATTGAGTTCGCAAGTAACCCTAAGGAAATACTTGAGTTCGCAAGCAAACCTACCCAAGATTGGAGAGCAAACAGCAGCAAAATTGCTGTTTGCTGCAGGAAAACAGCAATACGTACATGAAGACAGTGGAAAAAACAGAGAAACTGTAGGAAAATCTGAGAGAAAACCAAGCAATGGATAATGGGCTCCACCAAGTTTCCGCCCAAAGCCTGGCTCCCGCTGGGTCTATTCCGTCGCCTGGAATAGACCCGGACCGGTCCCTCCTGGACCGGTCCAGCCGGCCCCTCCTGGGCCGGCGTAACATTACCGCCTTCCCAAAGAATCACCTTGTCCTCAAGGTGAAAATCTGGAAACTGCTGCTTCATCCTCCAGTATGGCTCCCACGTAGCCTCGTAGTCAGGAAGGTTCTTCCACTGGATCAACACTTCCTTAGTTTTATCTTCTTTCTGGCGCACCCCTTTGAGCTCCATAGGTTCTAGAATCACCTCTAAGTCCTCAGTCAGGGTTGCTGGTAGCTCAGAATTGGCGGTGTGCTCCCCAATGGCCTTCCTCAATTGTGACACGTGAAACACTGGATGTATAGTTGCCGATGGAGGTAGTTTCAATCTGTATGCTACTGCCCCAATCTTCTCCAGTACTTCATAGGGCCCAAAGTACCTTGGAGCCAGCTTTTCATTCCTTCTGTTGGCAACTGTCTTCTGTCTATATGGTCGGAGCTTCAGAAACACCCTCTCCCCTGCTGCAAACTGTATGTCCTTCCTATGCCCATCCGCCTGCTTCTTCATAATTTGCTGTGCTCTCAGTAGATGCCTTTTTAGCTCTTCCAGTACTCGGTCTCTCTCCTCTAAGTACTCTTCTACTAACGAAACAGGAGTGCTGCTACTCCCAAAATGGACCAAGTGTGGAGGATCCCTTCCGTACAGCACTTTGAATGGCGTCATCTGTGAAGCTGAGTGAAAAGAGGTGTTGTACCAGTATTCTGCCCAAGGTAACCATTTGGCCCAAAGCTTAGGTGTCTCCGACACAAAACACCTCAAGTAGGTTTCTAAGCTCCTATTAACCACCTCCGTTTGGCCATCTGTCTGTGGGTGATAAGCGGTGCTCCTTTTCAAAACTGTTCCTTGTAACTTGAACAGCTCCCTCCAAAAATGACTGAGGAACACCTTGTCTCTATCGGACACTATTGCCTCTGGTACCCCATGCAACCTGACAACCTCTCTGATGAACGCGGAAGCCACTGTTATTGCGGTGTAAGGATGTCGGAGGGGAATAAAATGAGCATACTTGCTCAGCCTATCCACCACCACCAGGATCACTGTGAAGCCTTCTGAACGGGGCAGCCCATCTATGAAGTCCATGGATATTTCCTCCCATACTCTTCCTGGTAACGCCAATGGTTGTAGTAGCCCCCCTGGTGACATAGCCATGTATTTGTTCCTCTGACAAATCTCACATCTGGCCACCATCTCCTCTACATCTCTATGCATTCCCTTCCAGTAAAGCTCAGCCGCAATCCTCCTGTAGGTCTTCTGCACCCCAGAATGACCCCCAACCGCGCTCCCATGAAATTCTTGGAGTATGTTTGGGATGTGGATAGAAGTCCTGGGCATCACGAACCTCCCTTGATAAAGCAATCTGTCCCCCTCTACTGAGTACCCTGGGTGGCTATCACCTTCCCTTAATAAATCAGCCCTGATCTTTCCCAACACCTCATCCTTCGAGCTCTCTACTTTGATTGCCTCCCAATCTAGCATCAAAGGAACAGACACAACCACTGTCTGTAGTTCACCCAATCGTCTGGACAAGGCATCCGCAGCTTTGTTTTCCCCGCCTGGTCTGTACTGAATTTCAAAGTCATACCCCAGCAACTTTGAAAGCCATCGCTGATGCTCTTCCGTCACCATCCGCTGCTCCAACAAGTACTTCAGACTTCTCTGATCTGTTCTGACAATGAAATGCCTACCTAATAGGTAGGGTCGCCACTTCTGGATGGCTAAGACAATAGCCATCAATTCCCTCTCATAGACTGACTTCAGCCTGGCTCTGGCTGCTAATACCTGGCTGAAGTAGGCAATGGGTCGACGATTTTGCATGAGCACTGCCCCCAATCCGTACCCTGAAGCATCAGTCTCCACTATGAAGGTCTGAGTGAAGTCCGGTAGAGCTAGGACTGGTACCGTGGTCATAGCCTTCTTTAGTGTCTCAAATGCTGCTGTGGCTGCCTCTCCCCATAGGAATCCATCTTTCTTTAGCTGTTCTGTTAGTGGCCAAGCTATAGTACTGTACCCTTTAACAAATCTCCTATAGTATCCTGTAAGTCCTAAGAATCCTCTCAATTCCTTCAGATTCTTAGGCAATGGCCATCTCAACATCGCCTCCACCTTTGCCTGATCAGCTGCCACCCCTTCCTTGGATACTACATGGCCCAAGTATTCCACCCTAGATTGGCCAAAACAACACTTCTTCAGATTGGCTCTCAGCTGATGCTCCTGTAGAACTTCCAATACCAACTTCAAATGCTTCATATGCTCCTCCTCAGTTCTACTGTATACCAAGATGTCATCAAAGAACACAAGCACAAACTTCCTGAGATACGGTCTGAACACTCTATTCATCAGTGATTGGAAAGTCGCAGGGGCATTGGTAAGCCCAAACGGCATCACCAGAAACTCATAATGCCCCTCATGTGTTCTGAACGCCGTCTTAGAGATGTCTTCCTCCCTCATCCGGATCTGATGGTATCCCGACTTCAAATCCAGTTTGGAGAATATCACTGCTCCATACAGTTCATCCAAAAGTTCATCAATCACAGGAATGGGAAATTTATCTGGGATAGTCTCCTTATTCAAAGCCCTATAATCCACACAAAATCTCCAGCTTCCATCTTTCTTTTTGACCAGTAATACGGGGCTAGAGAAAGGACTTACACTAGGTCTGATGATCTTTGCCTCCAGCATTTCACTAATCAACCTTTCAATTTCATCTTTCTGAATCTGGGGATAGCGGTAGGGTCGTACGCTAATCGGTGACACCCCTTCCCTTAGTAGAATTGCATGCTCTTGTTCTCTGACCGGTGGTAACCCTTGAGGTGGCTGGAACACCTCGCTGAACTGTTGGATGACTGGTTGAACTACAAGAGAAATGTCTCCTTCTTTTCCCACACTAACTTTTTCCAATCGTTGCAGCTCCACCAAATATCCACCCCCAACCTCCTGGATGGTTCGGATCATGGACTTGAGAGACACCCCCGTCCTAGACAGGCCGACATCTCCCTGTATCACCATTCTCCTCCCCCCCACTATCAGCTCCATCCTCAGTTCTCCCCAGTTCACCTTGGTCTCCCCCAAAGTCTGCAGCCACTTCATTCCCAAAATCACATCAGTACTTCCCAATTCTAAGGGAAGAAAATCCTCCCTCACCTGTATCTCCTGAATGGTCCCCTGAATAGTCAGCACCACTCCTCTCCCCATTTCCACCTTCCCCGTGCCCATCATCACCCCATAGCCGCCGGTATCCACTAACTCCATTCCAAGCAATTCAACAAGCCGGGTGGAAATGAAATTGTGGGTTGCCCCACTATCTATCAGAACCACCACCTCGTGGTCAGCTATCACCCCTTTCACTTTCATAGTGTGACTCGAAGTGAATCCCACTACAGAGTTCAGGGAGACTTCTGCCACATCCAGGTGCAACTTCTCCTCCTCCTCCACTTCTGACCTGCTCCCTCCTCCCTCTTCGTCTTCCTCATCTTCGCAAACGAGGAGAACCTGAAGAGTTCGGTCCTTACACCTATGCCCTGGCATGTACTTCTCATCACATCTAAAGCACAATCCCTTGGCCCTCTTTTCATGCATCTCCTTATCAGTAAGCTTTTTAAAATTTCCCCCAGGTCCTCCTCCTCCAGTCCTCTCCTTTGGTACCTCTCGTATACCCCCCGGTGCAGCTCCCTTGGGAGCTAGAAAAGTGGTCGTCATTCTGTAGGATCCCCCTGAGCTACTGCCTTGAGCCCCTCTCTCCAGATGCTTCTGGTCCTCAACCAGTTGTGCCAACTCCATGGCCTCCCCCAGGTCGTGTGGTCTCATCACTCTAACAGCTGCCCTTATTTCTAGTTTGAGCCCTTTCATGAAGTTCCCCTCAAGCACGGTCTCAGAAAGACGATCCAACCTGCTAGCTAGGTACTCAAACCGGTCCTGGACTCTGCTACTGTCCCCTCCTGTGTCAGCGCAAAGAACTGCTCATAGAAGTCTCCTCCCCTGCTGGTTCGGAAACGCTCTAGCAGACAGTCCTTGAACTCCCTCCAGCTTTGAATGGGTCGCCTCATGTCCCTCCACTGGTACCATGCCAGTGCCTTCCCTTTCAAACATAGTCTTGCCGCTGTCAGTTTATCCTCCTCTGTCAACCCGTTGACTGGAAAATACCGTTCCACCTTATAAATCCAGCCATGTCCATCCTCGCCCTCAAAGATGGGCATCTTCAGTTTCCTCACCTTGGGATCTCCTCTATAACCTCCCATTCCATGATGAGGTGGTGCTCCCCAAGTGTCCTGATTATCCCTTTTGGGATTATACCCAAACCCCTCATCGTAATCCCTTCTTCTCCCTTCATAATCAGCATCCCGACGAGTGTCGTCCTCGCGTCTTCCTTCAAATTCAGCACCTCGGCAATGAAATTCTTCCCTTCTCCCTAAAAAATCAGCACCTCTTCTGTCATATCCCATACTCATCTCCTCCCTAGAAAGTGGTTCTAGAGGCAGCATGTCGTCCTCCCCTTCAAGAATCTCCACCTTCGGATTCCTCCTCCCCCGGATTGGGTTTGGATTTCCTCCTATGCCATGGCCGTCAGTAATCTCTCTCACTTCCGATGTCGCCGGATTGGTCTTCATCTCTAATAGTTTCTTCATCATTTCTTCCATAGCCGCGAACCTTCCTTCCAACCTGTCATTGTTGGTGGAGATTTCCAGGAACTTTCCCTCCAGATCTGTCTTCAGTTGTCCGAACTCGCCGGACAACTCGCCTTCTAATACTTCCACCTTCTTTCCGGCCATCTTTCCTTTCACGAAAAACCGGAAAAAATTCCTTCGAATCCCTCAAGAACTCCGCTGAAATTCTTGATTTTCAGCTGCCACAAGTCCCACGACGATGCTCTGATACCAATTTGATAGGAAATACTTGAGTTCGCAAGTAACCCTAAGGAAATACTTGAGTTCGCAAGTAACCCTAAGGAAATACTTGAGTTCGCAAGCAAACCTACCCAAGATTGGAGAGCAAACAGCAGCAGAATTGCTGTTTGCTGCAGGAAAACAGCAATACGTACAGGAAGATAGTGGAAAAAACAGAGAAACTGTAGGAAAATATGAGAGAAAACCAAGCAATGGACTTGTATTTCACTAGTAGATGATCAAAACAAAAGCAAGATACAATGTTCTTCGATTCGAGAGGAAGAATAACTCTCCAACTATCTCCGGCAACGCCAAGAGCCCAAGCAAGAAACCCTAAATCTCAAATTACATACAAATTCCAGATAACCCCCTTTCCCTCCTAATCCTCCTAATTAACAATAAAGGATTCCTACAAAATACCTAAACAGCCCTTTGCATTCAAAATTTTCCCTCCCACATAATCAAATCAGCCCCAAGTGGGGCCCACCTTGTCCGCCCTCCTCCCTTTCTTGGTTCCGCCTCCGCCTGGTGTAGACCCGGGTCGGACCGGGTCCAGCCGGCCCCTCCTGGGCTGGTTCAAGCATAACAGAATACAAAGAAAGATATACTAGTTTACAATCAAATAAATTCTCACAAGATTTTTTAATAACTCTTTCTCTGGGATCATGTTTCTTACCTGTAAGAGAGAGAGAGAGAGAGAGAGAGAGGAACTCCTACTGGCAGTATCCCGTCACCCAACTAAAGTCCCTCCAACCACCGTCACCCGCCGACTACGATCCCTCCAACTACCGTCACCCGCCGGCTACAATCTCTCTGATCTTTTTTGCCCAAATACAGCCCTACCAACCAAATGAATATGCCAAAGTTCTCTTGAGAATGGCTCCCTTTTCATTGGATTCTTCCAACCCCAACAATGTAATGTGCTCTATATAATATATTGAGCCAATGCCTTTCCCCCGCAGAAGGGCACAATTTGTAATCGACTACAAACACCAGTGAAATCATTTTAATTGGGCCAAGCACCGTGATTTTTCCCCTTTTCAGGATTTTCCGCATAAAATTCTTGGTGTATCTTATGCTTCTTGCACCCCTCTCTTTATATGTATGTGTGTTGGATCTTTGTTTAAAGCTAAGACATTAAGCTCTTTATCCTTCTACCGCTGCGAATGTTCCAGTCCGCAACAAGGATAAACCAGACTTAGATCATAAAGTCCTCGCAAAATGAGAGTTAAATCTCTGGGTAGCGTCTTATATATTAAACTAATCTGCCTTCTAAAAATTTAACATGGAATATAATCTATTAAAATTTTCCTCATCGATAAAAATACACGGAGAGGCTGGGGCACAATGTTTTGGAGCCCACAAAGCAGGGAAAATCTAGAAAGATATGAGACATTAACATAGGTTGGAAAGATATGAGCCCACAAACACATCTTAAAAAACAAAAATCATACAATCATTGTTCTAATAATATAATCATTGTTCTAATAATATATATATATATATATATAATATTCTACAATCATATTCTTAATAATATCAAACAAATGAGAAAATAATAATATAAATGGGCAATAGCGTAAGTAACATTGTCCTTGCCTTCTAAAGTGAAAGGCAAAAAAAATTAAATTATCATAAATAAATAAAAAGGAAAAAAAGTAAAAATTGTCAGCAATGTCTAAGGCGTTCCCAATATGAGTCCTGCCATATCACATCTACCACATGCTGGGCTTGCTTTACATATTATTTGATACTGGATAAGTTTTTATGTCATCATGTTAGATGTGCAAAACTTGACATTTTGGAGTGTTTATGCATCATACTTGATTCGCTCTCAAGTTATGATTCAAAGATGCAAACATTGAGAAGCAAGTTTTCTTTTAATTACGTCAGGATCAGGTATCAACAAAAGTTTCGCGAAATATTGAGGCGTATATAAATTTGGAACATTCACTGTAACACAAAGTATCAAGCCATCACAGTCGGGCTATGCCAAAAGATAACACATCCCTTTCAACAATAAACCTTATTAAGAGTCAAATTCTTCAAACGTATTGAATTTTCTGTAAGTAAAATGGAACTCAAAGAAGAAAGATTGCATGTATCAAAATGCACGTGTACAAAATGGAAATATTTAAATTCGAAGTCAGTTAACTCACCACCCATGCAATCTATCCCAAACTTCTTGTGGGAGCAATATGTAGTCCCGACCTTCCACTAAGGTTTCATGAAGCTCTATATCTACATTTGAGATTTCTGATGTTGCGTCATTAATCAAATCAGAATTGTCAATAGCAAAAGGCCTTTTGGGGCTGCTTGAACAAGGAGATCCATAATTGTGTGAACCATAGCCATTGCTCACAGTGACATTCATATCTTGGTTAACAAAGTCAAGCCAGGATTGCCACCATCTATCAAAAGGAAAAGGAAATCTAAGTTTTTCAAACCATAATAAACCAATCAAAAACAGTTCCAAGTTCAAACAATTAAATCTGAAAAAGAACCATAAAAGAATTAAAATAATTCAGTAAAATTTTTAACAGCGAAATTGATAGTGTGGTGCGTAATTATTACAATGGCCCAAGTCATGATGTAATTATTACAATGGATAAAAGATTCTGGCAAAAGGAACTTGTCACCCGTTCTGATATTGTTTTAGCATCTCAAGATGCACATTGTTCAGTAAGAATTTGTTTTATGTGAGAATAAGATAAATAATCGAAGGATAGCATAATTTAAAAGCAGTTAAGTTCTATCAAAAATACCAAGCATAATCTTCCTCGGAATTCTAAGCAATCTACACCGTACCCAAACCAGCAGAACAAATATCTGAAACTACCATCTAACAAATCAGACCCGTTAAAGCATGACATTCACCCACTTAATGTTCTCCTGAAAAGAGAAGATTGCGAGGACTATTATCAGTCTTAGTAAGATCATCCAACTAACCTAGCAACCAAGTTAGAGAACTAATTTCTCTAAAATTGCACCATATTTTCATTTTCTCTTACCATTTACATGCTGCCAAAACTTAAAGCAATACTAGATCTCAAACGGTTAGACCAGTCAAGGAGGGATCAGCCTCTGCTACAAAAGGCGGAGCCTGTCCGCCTCCCTTGGTTTCCATCACAATTCCGTGGGGTCCAGCAGCAGCCCTCGTTTTCAAAGAAATTACGGTGATTTAGGAGTGAAAATTCAAAGGAGTGGCTGTTTAGAGATTTCAATTATGATTGTATGTTTTAAGTAGAATGTCTTCCTATGGTTAGGGTACTGAGTATTTTTTTGAATTGAGTTGTTCGTCGTTGTTTTGGGCTGTGGCGGCATTTAGAGATTTGGGAGAGGCGGGTCTTCCTCTCGAATTGAAGATCCATTGTATATTGTATGTTTTCTTTCATATGCTATCAATACAATCGTTCCTCGCCTTTGTCTCCACTTCGTTCTTTGTATTTCTAGTTTTATACTTTGCTGAAATTCAATTTCAGTCACGGTTCCATTGTGGTTTACAAGTGTTTCCTATCAAATTGGTATCAGAGCAGTATCCTAGGTTGAAATATGAGTCTCCCTTGTTGATTCTTGTTGTGATTTTCTCTCCAATCTTACTGATTTTTGCTGTTTGAAGAGTAAATCTGCTATTTTTTGGCTATTTGTGTTATTTGGAGCCTAGATCTGTGTACCTATGGCTAGAAGAAAGGTAGAAGTATTGGAAGGGGAGATCGGACAAATGAAATCTAAAATTTCGGATCTCCAAACTCATGTTTCAAATTTAAAAAATGAAATTTCAGTTATCCATGAGAAGATTGATCTCAAATTATCCATCATGGATGAGATGTTGAAGAAGTTGCTTAATGGACAACCCAAAACAGCATCTTCGGAGAAAATGGACAAAACCCTAATTTGATAACGAGAAGGGAAGATCAGGAGGAAATTTTGGAGGGAGAAGAGAGAATGCCTCCCCTAGAGCCTATTCATAGGGAGGAATCTGGTAGAGGGTATGGGGAGAGGCATGAGGGGGTCAAACATGAACGAAGGGGTGCTGAATTTAAGGGAAGAAGGTCATAATTGGAAAGGAGATGGGCTAATTATGACCGGAGGGGTACCGAATTTGAAAGGAGGGGTAAAATTTGAAGGGAGAAAAGTTGATTATGATCCAAGAGGTGCAGAACTTGAAAGAAGAATGTGAAATTTTGACAAAAAGCGTGGATACGAGCATAGAAGAGATGATTGGGACACTTGGGGGGAACAACCCCCTTGGAGAATGAAAAATTATAGAGGAAACAGGGGAAACAAAGGAGATCTGCGGGTGAGGAAGCTAAAGATGCTTATTTTTTAGAGAGGTGGTACACATGGGTGGATCTACATGGTGTAAAGATACTTTATCGTCAAAAGGTTGACAGAAGAGGAAAGACTGACAACATATGGGATGTGCTTGAAGGGGAAAGAGTTAGCATGGTACTAATGGAGAGATACGAGGCAACCCATATGTACCTGGAGGGAGTTTAAGGATTGTTTATTGGAATGTTTTGTAGGGCACTTCTATGAGCAGTTCTTCACCCTAATGCAAGAGAAAACTAGTTAAATATCATGAGCAGTTTGAGCACCTGACCAATAAACTGGACCGGCTTCCAGAGACTGTACAGAAGGGGAACTTTATGAAAGGGCTCAAACCCGAGACTCGAGCTACAACTAGAGTGATGAGGCCTCATGATTTGGGAGAGGCTATGGACCCAACTCAGTTAGTGGAGGATCAGAGGGACCTGGAGAGAGGGACTGGAGGCAACAACTCAGGCGAGTCGTATAAGATGACCACTGCCTTTTTGGCATCAAAGGAGCCGACATAGGGTACCCTTCGGGAGACCTCGAAAGAGAAGACTGTAGAAGGAAGAACGGGGGAAACTTCAACAAGCTCACATAAATGGAGTTACAGGAGAAGGGCGAGAAGGGGCTTATTTTAGATGTGAAGAAAGGTATACATCGGGGCATAAATATAAGGACCGATCTCTTCAGGTTCTCACCCTGTGTGATGAAGAGGAACTTGAGGAGGGAGCCTTCTTTCCACCTTACGAACAAGGTGGGTCTTTGGGAGGGGGGTATTGTTAGACAGGTCCAGGAGGGATCAGTCTAGCCAATCCAGAAATGACAGGCCTCTACTACATAAGGTGGAACATGTTCGCCTCCCTGGTTTCCGCCTCCAATCTGTGGGGTCCAACAGCCCTCGTTTAGGAAGAAATTAAGGTGGTTTAGGAGAGAAAATTCAAATGAATGATTGTTTAGAGATTTCCTTTATGATTGTATGTTTTAGGTAGAATGTTTTCCTAGGGTTAGGGTATCAAGTATTTTTTTCTAAATTGAGTTGTTCTTCATTTTTTTTGGGCTATAACGGCGTCTAGAGATTTGGGAGAGCTAGATCTTCTTCTCGAATTGAAGATCCATTGTATCTTGAGTGTTTTCTTTCATCTTCTATCTACAATCATTCCTCGCCTTTGCCTCCACTTCGTTCTTTGTATTTCTAGTTTTGTACTTCACTAAAATTCAATTTTATCCATAGTTTCATTGTGGGTTACCAGTGTTTCCTGTCAGAAACACACCTTTCGCTTAAAGAGAATTTTAATGAAGAAAGTTTACTAGCACAGAGAACACTAGCTAGCAAACAAAATGAGTTCCAAGATGAGCTAATTAATCTCCATTATATTCATGAAAAAGGTTCATACGTAATAAAGGTGCAACAAAATTCCTTACCCTTTCTTGCATCTTCACAAACCTATAAGAGAAAACCATCTTTGAGGGCAGGGAGCATAAGCCATCTCATCCTAAAATATTATTGGTGTCAAAAGTAAGATTACAAAACCAATGTCATTTGCAATGGCAAGGTTCACTAGAGCTCAATATGGAGTAATTTTGGACCTTCAAATTCCTTCCAAACTAAACTCAGACCATCAATGTAATTTGAATGAAGAAAAAGACATAATAGATGGAAAAGAATCTCTAAAATTGTCAAGGAAAAGATCCAGTTAACACTCTCACCACTAAAATGCGAGAGAACCTCAATCCCATATCAGATCATCCAAAGATCAAAAGAACGACAATTAGTGTAGTCAAATTGAGAGAACTTTACTAGTCCCTGACCTTTGAGGGCACTAGCAGGTATTTCATTGTTGTTTCATCCCTGAACAAAGAAGAGACCCAATTTGCAGAAAACAAACACGAACTTAGATTACTTCTTAATGAGTTATAACGATATCTTTTTGATGAAGTTAATTCACTCTGACCCCAATTGTAAATATTCAACACCTCATAATCTTATTCCTGGTGCTACTCTATACCTTATTTACCTCATTATAAAATGACTATTAAGAATTAAACTATCTGGTCTTAAACTTGTTACAAAAAGGGTACTTTCATGCCACTCATCCACCTGAGCATTCTCATCTTCACAACACTTAACTTTATGCTAAACAATGAAGACTTAAATATAAATATTATATAGTATAAGAAAGAAAATATCTCATCCTATATTGGGTTGGGTGGCAACGTAGTCACTAAATGTCAAGTTGAATATAGTAAAAATGATAATATTAAGATGAATGTGTGGTAAGATTATAAAGAATGAAATAAAAAATAAAATTATAAGAACATTGGAAGTATCACTCATAGAAAAAATATTGTTGAAAAGTACTACAAAGGATGAAAGTTCTACCAGGCAAGTAAATAGAATGAATATAAATGATTATCAAGAAAAGGGCAGACCTTATAAAACGTGACTAGATATTATGTTAAAAAATATATTCAATAGTTTAGCATTAAACAACAAAGAATGAAGAAGGGGAATTTATCAAATTGGACGATATAAATCTAATTTGTTTGAATAATAAACTTACGATGATTGTGGTGGAAGTTTTACATGCATTCCTGACAAATAATTTAGATTCATGGCTCAAATGGCATTAGGTTTGGTTCTACAAGGAAAAATATATATAATAAACTATACGAGATTTTTTTCTCAAAATTGAAAAAAAATTCTCTTATCGCCTTTCGTGCAAATCAAATCTCTACCTAAAAGACTTCATAAAGGTTCCTTGGAAACATGCAAGCCCTTGCAAAGGTCAAGCCTTCCTCAGCACTTGTATTTTCATCTCAAAAACCTGATCTTTCACAAACAAATCAAGTGACCACAAATCATGGTGTTGGGGATTTTGAATCTCTATAAGCATCAAGTGGATTGTAAAGAGAAGTGCAACATAAAGCAAACATCTGGGGTTGTTCATGGTTGTCCTATCTAACAAAGCTCACATATGCTTGTAAATATTCCTTGGAAATATGCAAGCCCTCATAGAGGTTAAGCATGCCTCCGCATTTGAATCATGGGGTTAGGGTTTTGAATCTCTTTATGCATCAAGTTGATTGTAAGGAGGTCTGCTGTATAAAATGAACCTATGGGATTGTTCATGGCTCTACTATCAAATAAATCTCATATTACCTTTGCTTCTTCCTATGCAAACTTGGACTTACTTTGGTTCATGTTTAATAGCTCATTGCATATATTGATTTGAGAACTTTTATTTATCGAGGTCTTGGCTAATTGCAATCTATAAGGCTCACATAATGCTTTTGTTTTTGTAAAGCATTAGCTTAGGTTGAACTCAACGTAATTGTAAGGTGTGATGCTCCAACGGCGATGGAGGAGTCAAATCATTTGGCCTCAAGGCCTCACCTAAAGGTTCAACGAGTTTACATTCTATTATGTGAACATTGTTACAAGGACAACTTGTTTGGGGATTATCTTCTAGTTAATTGCATAACCACTAATGGTTCATATCGAGATTTACTTAAATTAGGATAGATTCCAGTAAGTTTAACACTTCTACAATATATTGGCCATCACTTTTTTAAGAATTTGTTTATACTGCAACTCGAGATTTATGTCACTAAAACTTAACTGTGAATACATGAACTAACAATAGGATTACTTTCCGAAAGCTGAGATAGAGAACGCTATCTATGACTTTGTTTCTCTAAGGAGACTTATTCAGTGAATTAGCCATGAAAATATGCACATTGAGATGAAATAGATGTATGATGGCAGACTGTGGTAGGCACTTACCCTCCCCTTCTGGTATTCACATGTGAAGATTACAACATTATCATATCTGAACCTTCTGCCAAAACTTATTTATTTCTTATCACTCCACTAAAAGCATCACCGTAATCCATTTGCTGCACATTGTTTTCTTGTATGGAATGCTCAAGAAAGCACCTTGCACAGATTAAAGTTGAAAGCATAACGCATGACTTGCATGCTGCTAACAGCAACCTAAACCCACCAAGTAAGACAATAAATTTCGAAGGTTTATTTCACTTAAATTAGGGACCACATCTTGCAGTTCAATCATGGCAACAACAGCAAAGATAGATAAAGGAAACAGACAAGCTTAATGTGCAATCAGTTCAGCTTGAGAATCTCTGATCCCCAACTTGAAAATCTCCGATCAACAGAAGAAATAGTCTAATAAATTAAATCAAATTTAAAAGAAATGTCCAGGGAAAACCAATTACCTAAATAGAAACATATAACAAACATAAACTCAAATATCAACAGCAGTGATAACAAATAAAAACATTAGGTTTTTGAGGACAGTTTCGCGGAAAAAAGAAAAAAGACTTAAGGAGTGCTGATTTTCGCCCAAAAGGCTGAGGAATAAAAGCGAAATTGATTTAGGTAGAACCTGCTGGTGATAAGGTAGAAGGTGTCGCCTTCTTTGGTTTGGACCTCCGCAGCGGCACAGATATCCCTGATGAGGGTCCTCTCCTCCTCAGGCGTCAGCTCCCGCTCCCGTTCCCGTTCCCGTTCCGGCGCCATCGTCATGCAATCCATTTCGCCTAAAGTAAGTGAGCATCAAAACCTCGCAAAACCGCGTATTTCTTTCAAGCTCGCATCGCGCTCTCGCTCGTCTCTGCCTCCGTCAGTCTCCCGTCGCCTTGGGAGAAGGGCGCAGTGTCCGGAAATTATTGTTCGTGCTCCGGACATAGAACCGGAGATTCGATTTAGCCCACATATAACAACAAAAATTCAACTTTATTTCATATTATTCATATATTTAATACTTAAAACTTTAATATTACATTATATCATTTATATAAAATTTTAAAAAAATTTACATACATAATATATAAAACTATTAAAAATACATATTCAACGACCAAACTATTATATTTACTGATATGTCATATAAATTTTCATTTTCTTCTATTCTGCCACTTTGTTTATCAGTGTGTCGTCTTCCATTCGTTCGTGCGAAGGAATGTGTATTGGCACCGCTGACATCCACAATGAATTCAAAGTCCTGATTTTCGTAGCCGCAGATGCCTCCCGTGCGGCATCAGAACATCTGCCAGGAAGAAGATGAGCATTAGGAAATTCATTTGATAACGGATAAAGGTAAGTTTACTAACCCAAGAAGACACCCAAATGGCAGCACAAGCGACTAGAAAGCAGAAGGAATGCTGCTAAAAAAAATCTAAAAAAAAGGCGAATTTCTCATGCCCATCATCGTTGGCAAATCGGAATAGCTCAAAGCAACTCACCTTGGACAGTGTTGGTGTAGGTTTCTCATGTCCTCCAGCACTGTCAGTTCCACAATGCTATGCACTTTGTCTAATGTCTTCTCCGAGCAAGCGGAGGGAGATGGACTTCATGAAATTGTGAATCTCCGGCAAAGAATTTGTGTTGGTATTAGGAATTCAGTTATATTAAGAATTTGTATTATCATCAAAATTTCTACATGGAAAAAAAGCAGCTTACTCTTAAGATTAGGAATGAAGACGAGATGACGACGGCAAGCCATAGGCCCATAGCCAGCATCAGAGGGGTTGGGATTGAAGTATATGAGCTTCTTGGCTTCGGCGACACCATTTGTCACATGTTCTTCCACAGCTCGAGCTCACATAGTGAAAGGATGCCATTGAAGCGATGAGATACTTGTATTCACTGTGAAAGGATGCCATTGGCAGGAAGATAGTCGCTGATAGTGATTTTTTATGGAGGGTTTAAATGGAATGTTAGAATTGATTAAAAAGAGGTGTTTTAGGTGTTATAGTAGTAAATATAGAAGTTTATGTGTTAGCGCAGTGTCGAGAAATTATTGTCCGTGCTCCGGACATAGAACCAGAGATCCGACAGCCCACATATATCAACATACATACAACTTTATTTCATATTATTTATATATTTAATACTTAAAATTTTAATATTACATTATATCATTTATATAAAATTTTAAAAAAATTTACAGACATAACATTTAAAACTATTAAAAATACATATTCAACAACCAAACTATATTTACTAATATACCATATAAATCTTCATTTTCTTCTATTCTACCACTTCGTTTATCCGTGTGTCTTCTTCCATTCGTTCGTGCGAAGGAATGTGTTTTGGCACCGCTGACGTCCACGACGAATTCAAAATCCTGATTTTCGTAGCCGTAGATGCCTCCCGTGCGGCATCAGAACATCCGCCAGGAAGAAGATGAGCATTAGGAAATTCATTTGATAACGGATAAAGGTAAGTTTACTAACCCAAGAAGACACACAAATGGCAGCACCAGCGACTAGGAAGCAGAAGGAATGCTGCTAAAAAAATTCTTTTTTAAAAAAAAAGGTGAATTTCTCATGCCCTTCATCGTTGGCAAATCGGAATAGCTCAAAGCAACTCACCTTCGACAGTGTTGGCATAGGTTTCTCATGTCCTCCAGCACTGTCAGTTCCACAATGCTATGCACTTTGTCTGATGTCTTCTCCGAGCAAGCGGAGGGAGATGGACTTCATGAAATTGTGAATCTCTGGCAAAGAATTTGTGTTGGCATTAGGAATTCAATTATATTAAGAATTTGTATTATCATCAAAATTTCTACATGGAAAAAAAGCAGCTTACTCTTAAGATTAGGAATGAAGACGAGATGACGACGACAAGCCATAGGCCCATAGCCAGCGTCAGAGGGGTTGGGATTGAAGTATATGAGCTTATTGGCTTCGGCGTCACCATTTGTCGTCTGTTCTTCCACGACTCGAGCTCACATAGTGAAAGGATGCCATTGAAGCGATGAGATACTTGTATTCACTGTGAAAGGATGTCATTGGCGGGGAAGACAATCACCGATAATGATTTTTTATGGAGGGTTTAAATGGAATGTTAGAATTGATTAAAAAGAGTTGTTTTAGGTGTTATAGTAGTAAATCTAAAAGTTTATGTGTTAAATATGTATTTTCAATAGTTTTATCTGTTATATATGTAAAAATTCCAAAATATTAATATCAAATATATCACTTCTATATTTCATTATTACCACTCATACAATCATATAAATTTTAAAATTTTAATATTTCATTCCACGCACCCATATTTGTTATATGGGTTGTAGGCATGTAATATTAATATTTTATGTATTAGATATATAAATAGCTTGAAATAAAGTGGTATGTATGGAAATACCACAATTTTTTAATATATGCAGCTTATTTATTAGTTATGTTTTTAAAAAGTAAATTTGTAAAAGCTCTCAAATATTTAAATTTTTTTGTAATAAATTTTTTTTGTACATATTGAGAAAAATAAATGAGAAACAGCCAATCAAGATGGAGATTAATTGGTTTGCAGGACTTCAAGTTCTCTACAAATCCATTTGGATCCATTGAAAAGAAAAAAAAAATTTAGAGTATAGTGTATTTTACTTACCTAATAATTTCTTTTCAATGTATACTATGAGGCAATATACGTTTTGTTGAACATAATTTTTCAACAGAGAAATTTGTCGTAAATGCAAATACAACATAACTAAAATCACATTCAAGGTATATCAAGTTCTCAAACAAGCTCAAATACTTCAATGATAATATATAAATTGGGCAGCAATGGTTTACGTGTTTTTTGTGATGTTTCATGCATATTCACTTAGAATGTATTTTTAAAAAATTTATATATCGAATGTTGCGAAAACGCATGCTTCTATGCATTCATTTATTAATTATCTCATTTGTAATTATTATGCATTTTTCACTTTCGTTTACGTAAGATTTTGTTCATTTTGATGATGCGTATTGTTCTGTACCACTGTATATTATTGTGTATCGATGTGTTCAGTCATATATTGTTGTGTACTAATGTTTACTATTGTTATATATTGTTGTATATTGTTGTTGTGTACTATTGTGTACGGAATGAATGTTGTGTATAATGATTTATTTTTCACATGAATTTAACATATTATTTCTAGAACAATTGCTAGAATATATTTTACAATACTAGGTGGAGGACTCACTCTACTCATCATCCATTGATTATAAATTTAAATAGTGTAATTAAAAAATATGCATATTTTAATCAGTATTTAGATTGTTATTACAAATTTTGCACTGACTAAACTAAAAATCCTAAAATAAAATACATATATAACCCTTATTAGCTCGTTGATAAATCCAACAATGAGACTAATACAGATAGAAGCCAAGAGCTAGAAGGAAGACTTGAATAGGCATATTGATCTCTTACAACCAAAATCCTCCATGGCTCTTAATTCAGCGCATTAACAAGCAAAGCTAAAATGATGGATTAATCGGATTTGAGGGGAGAAGCCCAAATCTAAAGTCACCACTCTTTCTCGAATTACTCCAAAGCAAAATTTATGTTAGCAAGATCAAAGATTGATTTATGAAACAGATATTTATAGTTGATCTTGCTTTGCTTGTTCTCCATTAATGAAATAGATTGTGTTTAAATTTGAGAAGCAGTACACAACAATAATACACGATAATACACAGCAGTAGATAATAACAATACACATCAATATATAACAAAAATGCACAACAATACACAGCAGCACACAACAATAATATACATTAATACACAGCAGTACATAGCAGTACACAATAATAATACACAGTAACAATACACATTAATACACAACAGTACACAATAATAATACATAGTAATTTACAGTAGTATACATCAACAATAAACAATAAAAAACTCCATTTCCCACAAAGTTTCTGTAATACACATTTGTGAAAAAGCTGAGAAAGCTTTAAAATGAACAAAATATCACTAAAAATTTTACATAGTTGATTTACATAAATGTGCATTTTTCTGCAAGGGCATATCAATACTGTGCTTTTACTACAATCTTCAAAACACAAAATGATATGCAAATCATGGAGTACTAATGACTTGCAAACTCAAAAAGTAAGTGAGACTCGAAATTACTCTTATAATCAAAGTTTGTTTTGGGGGTGTTGCCCCCGGCCTGGAAACCCACGCAAGGGTGTTGCACCTTAACCCCGCGACTGGTCTGCCAGGGAGCGTTGCCCCCTTGGACCCCACAACAGCAGTTTTCAACTTCAAGTCTTCCTCTTCCTGGATGTTTGCACACTGCCTTTTGGACTCCGCATCCTATCAGGGTATCATCTCCTCAAAGAATGCAACGTCATCCTCCAAACCAGTCTTCATCTTCATCGACTCTTTTTTATTATTTTTCATTCTCAACATATACCAAAAGTTTTATTCTGCAAAAATTATAAATATTTGGGAGCTTTCACGAGCTTTTTTTTAAACATAAAAAAATGAGTGGACTACTGCGATTTCAAATTTTTGTATAAATGAGTTGGGTTTGGTCGTAGGGTAATAATTAAAAAATTTATTCGTCTTAATTTATATAAATGGGTTGGTTTTGATCGTCAGGTCATAATTAAAAAATTTATATGTCTTAATTTAATTGGAGTCCGGACGTAGAGTTTCGTCCGGAGTCCGAACATAATAATTTTTTCAATGACAGAAAGCATAAGACGTTAGCCAAAGAACAGTGCCTATAGTAGAAGTCAGCGTTCGACTATAGAATACATAGTACGATCTACTAATCGACCGTCCACATGGCAATCAAAGAGACATCAAAGGCCACTTGCTAATGTATATCACAAAATATCTAAGATCTGAATTTTTTTAATTACATATATAACACTTAAAAGTTTATATAATATCATAC